TTTAGTCTTTGGGAAATTGTTGGGCTTCTGAGGGCTTTTATAAATTTCTCGCTAGAACCAGGGCCCCAGACAAACCGACATGGTAAAGGGTGTAACTTTTTTTCAGTTTTAGCGTTTTCCTGGGAGTGCGCTAAGGCGCGTATGTTTAAAGATACCATACAATGGTCCGAAAACTCAGTCAATTGGTGGACTTTAAAGAAGTTAATGTTGTGGAACAGTGAGCTACTAGAGATGGCGTAGTCAACCGTGCTACAGCCGTTAGGTTGGTAGCACGTAAATCTACCATTCAAGTCGCCCAGTATTCTTCCGTTTAGTATGTGTAGATCGGTCTGTACACATAAGTCTATGAGGCATTTACCAAAAGAATTAGCTGGGTTTCTGTCGGTAAAATTTTTTGGGATGTCTACGTTGTGAGCGGGAGAGAGTGGGTCCATGTCAAAATCTAGGGTTTCTTCAACATTAAAGTCTTGTAAGGACTCAATTCTACTGTTAAAGTCTCCCCCAAGAATTATATGGCCCTTGGCCTTAAAGAGCGCTATGTCCTGCTCTAATACATCAAAAATAGACTAATGTAGACATTACATATAAATACATCTTTAGATAGACCTAACAAATCTTTTGACACGCGAACCCAGAGTAAGTCTTTGCAATCAGAAGTTCCACGCCCTCTTTTAATAAATTTTGAGAGATCATTTTTGAAGTAAAAAATTATTCCTCCTGAATTTCTTCTAGCTTTCTTTCTTTTTTGTCTCAAAGATGAAAAATGTTGGTCATTCGGAATGTCAACTTCTGAAGATTCATTACTCCAGGTTTCAATGAGAGAGAAGAGATCTAGTTTTTCCAAACTACTTCTAAAGCTACGATCTTCAAGTTTCTTTCCTAATCCGTGAACATTCCAAAACCCTATGTTCAATGTGTTCACCGGTTTCATAAGTTTTCTTTCTTAATACGAGAATGATGCTCGACGTGGTCCCTACTTTTACGATAATGTTACATATAAGTTGTACTTGTGCAATATAGTTGCATAAACTTAAAAAAAAACTAAGTAATGTTACATATAAGATGTACTTGTGCAATATAGTTGCATAAACATAAAAAAAAATTATAAAATTAAAAATAAAAAACTACCAGTATTTCCTGCTGGTATCTATCATTACTTGAGCTTGCGTGTTATCTTTACCATAACATATTATTGTTTGATACCATACAAGTTTAAGGATATACGATTTGTGTTACCACTCTCTCAAGTCGTAGCGCCAGTCAGGGTACTCCTCCAGCTGCCTCTGCATGCGCCAGTCTCTGCTGTGCGAGCGCCAGTTTGCTTCGTATGTGTGCCAGTCCGCGTTGTACCTGCGACAGTCTGCGTCGTATGTGCGCCAGTCTGCGTTGTGTCGATTCCAGTTTGAGGCTCTTTGGTCACGTGGAAACCAGTCCAGGTTGTGAAAGCGCCAGTCTTGGCGTTGTTCTCTCTCCGGGACCCTGTATGGACTTGGTCTGTCTCGAGGGCACCAACACGAGCGCTGGTCTGGGTTGGTCCAGTCACGAGGGCGCGATCCTACGTTAAGTTCGTCACGAGCGAACGAGTTCGGGTACGGCTCGTCGCGAGGCAGTCGGTCACGAGCGAACGAGTTCGGGTTCGGCTCTTCGCGAGGGCGTCGGTCACGAGCGAACGAGTTCGGGTTCGGCTCTTCGCGAGGGCGTCGGTCACGAGCGAA